AATGAGGGAAGGGGGCAGACAGTCTCCAAATGCAGCCAGCGACGAGCCCCATTCCTGCGAGCTCATGTCACCTCCCACAGAAAGGAACAGAATCCCTTTTCCTCCTTAAACCTGGGCTGGACTTCTGGCTGGGTCTGACGGCTAAAATGAGGAAGGAGGAGCATTCTTGGAGTTCCGAGTCTAGGCTTTAAATGGACTGGCAGCTCCTGCTTCCTTCCCCTGGAAGTCAGTCATCCTGCCATAAAGAGTCTCCACTCAGGCATCTGAGTGGCGAAAGTCCACACGGAGAGGGGCCACCTGGCAGTATCCCAGGGCACCAAGTTGTGTCTAAAGCCTCACGGGACCTTCCAGCCTCGTCCAGCTGCTTGAAGAATGCAGCTGTGTGTGCCATCCCAGCCATCATCAGCTGAAAAGCCACCCCGCTGAGCCCTATTAACCCACAGAGTCATGAAAGATGACAAATCACTGTTGAAGACACTACATTTGGGAATGCAATGATAAGGCATGCAAGTAAGGAAGGCGAGCAGGTGTGGAGTCCACATCAGAGCCGTGTGCTGGCAAACCCCTCTGGTTTCAGCCCCCCATTTTACCACCATCTGTGGCACAATGAAGTGCCAAGAGTTTACCCAAGATCTAGGGAGCCTAAAAACTTGTAAGTCAAAATGTCATTCAAAAAGAAAAGCAAAAAAATACAGACTTCACAGGACTGGGTGGCTGTGACGCAAAGGCTGCAGTGGGTGAGGTGGCGACAATAAAGAAGCTGCCACCCTCTAAGAGAAGCCACATTGATCAAGGGGAGGAACGCGGTAGTACAGTGGCAATGCAACTGAAGCACACGGACAAGGTCCCCGGTCCACGTCCAGAATCTGAGCGTGGTGGGTACACACATACGATCGCAGTCCTGGCTGGCTGAGGCAGCGGCAGGACCACAGTGTGAAAACTGCTGGGGGTGCCTGTCTCTCTGTTTTTCTCTCTCATGGAAGAAATACATGAACAAATTCAAAAAAAATTGTAAGAGGGGGATTATCAGCCCAGTAGAAAAATGGATGGAGGACCCAAAGAGGGGAGTCCCGGAAGTGCACACTCCAACCACTGAAGAACACAGAAAAAGGCAGCTGCAGCCAGAGGAGGACACCGTAAGTAAAAATACGCCATTGTTTACTTGTTTAAAATCCTGCTGACCACGCTAGTGAGGATAAGAGGAAAGAGTCCACTTACAAGTTGCTATGGAAATGTGAATTGGTCCGTGTTAAGAAACACGATCTAGCAGCGTTCATTTAAAATGTGCTATGTGTGGGGAACCAGCAGTTAGCGTAATGGCTATGTCGCTGGATTCCCACGTAGTCGACCGTGGTTCATGTCCCGGACCCAGTGGCTTAAACTCACGCCGGGCACGTGTGTGTGCGTGCCCAAGATCCCGAGAAGAGAATGGAGGAGAAGGGATTGCGGCGTGACCATCCCCCTGGGGGTGATTTCTCGCTTTCTGTCTCTATGTCTCTCTCTGTCTGTCTGGCGAGCGCACGCGCCCTATAGCATAAACCTCTCAAAAAAAAAAAAAAGAAAGAAAGAAAGAAAGAAAAAAGAACATGCTACGTGTGTACGTCTGTGCGTGCAGGAGAGCTCACTGCAGATACGGCGAGGCGGCAAATGCTTGAAGTGAAGCAAACGCCAGCTGACAGGGGAAGTGGATCTTGCTCCACCCACATTGGGAATACTTTGCAAATTCAAAAGAATACATTTAAGTTCTAACAAGGCCTTGGAGGGGTTCCCTGTGAGATATGGATGAGAAACAGATGCATAGACAAAGTGGATCAAATATGTCAATACGATTCTGTTCTGATTCTGTTCTCTTTTTTTGAGAGAGAGATTTTTGCTATAGGGCATGTGCACTTGCTGGAGCGACAGAGAGAGGTAGAGAGAAAGATGAAGAGAGAGAAAGCGAGAAATCACACCCAGGCCACACCACAATCCCTTCTCCACTTTCTCAGGATTTGGGGCATGCATGCACAAGCGCCCAGAGTGAGTTTCAAGTCACCAGGCTTGGGACTCAAACCACAGTTGGCCATGTGGGAGTCCAGCACCTTAATCACTATGCCACCCGCTGGCCCCTGTGGTTCTGTTCTGTAAAACAATGGCAATGCCTGTATCTGGATCTGTGCTTCCATGAGTTTATGTATTAATATCTACATCGGTGTCTAGGTCAACCTATGTGCATGGAGACACATATGAAAGGTACATGCAAAGGCATCGGCATTATTACCTAGGAAACGGTAGAGGCGTGTAGGAAAAAAGAGATGAAGGAAGTAGCCTAATTAGAAGGAAAATTTTAAAAAAACTTTAAAAAATATGATAATATCTCATTTGGGGGATGAAGTCTACATATATGTTCTCTTATGTGCAGTTATATTTACACATGTGTTTGCATACAAATATAAAATAAGAGACCAGCAGGTGGTGTGGTGGTTAAGGTGCTGGACACTCCCACATGGCTGACCAAGGTTCGAGTCCTGAACCTGGTAGCTTGCTTTCTCTCTTTCTCTCTCTCTCTCTCTCTCTCTCTCTCTCTCTCTCTCGGTGTGTGTGTGCCTGTCTCTGGGAAAAAATTTTAAAATAAATAAATAAAATTAAACAATTCTTTAAAAAGTATATAATATTAATGTCAAACCATGAAATAAAGCACATAATGATTCCTATTCCATTCCTACACAGACATCCCTAAAGCAAGGATTATGGCATTTAAAAACCATTCCTTCTGCAATTTAACTTTTCTTTCTTTTTTTTTTTTTTTAACTGTCACAAATAGGACATTTTACTTGTCACTATTAAAAGTCTGAACTTTGAACAGATTCTTGGACTGGTGGTTCATATCCATCCCAGTCGCTTTTCCAGAGCTACCACCTTCCCCATGAAGCTCCATGAGTTTGCCCAGTTCAAACTGGGGCTTCCTTAGCATTTGACTCTCCTGACGAAGACGTCGTGGAGAGGGCAGATGGACTGGCAGGCCTCTCCTATGTCTTTTCCAGTGCTGTCGGAAATCAGTTTACCCACCACTTCTTTCAAGTCATTTGCCGGCAGCTCCCGGGTCACGATTTCCATCATCTTCTGGATTTGGCGGACCTGCTGATGCTGGGCAGAGGAGGTCTTCCGTACCTGACTGCTGTGTTTTTTAGTAAACCCAACACAGAAGAGACGAGGCAAATAACCCTCGGTAGTCTTGACATCGACCTGAGCTTCAGTCATGGTCTGCCATTTTTTGACCATGGAACACATTTTGTCACGGGTGAGGTCCATGCCATGGAAGTTAGTCAGGCAGTTTTTGCCCTGAACATCCTCAGTAATTAGCTGGAATTTCCTAAATTCCTAAATGGGACTTGGTCATTCTGCAGATCGGCAAGGCTCACGTCAAACACACGGCCCCTAAGGCTGTCGGACGCAATGTTGGTTCCTTGAGTCCTGGTAACCAGTGTCTTCCCAATATTTCTTCTGTCGAACATAGCAGGTGCTTTCACGCCATACCAGTCTTTAGAAAATGGATCAACCACTTTCTTCTTGGCTTCCTTTTGCCGCCTTTCGTAAGGCGCTTATTCTTGCCAACCGCCACGGTGCTACTCAGAGAGCCAAAAGGCTCTGCGATTTAACTCTATGTCAAAGAAATGCCACTGCCAAATGGGAGCCCTGACGCCTGCAGGCCAGATGACAGCCCAGTGGCCTTTCTCCTCCCGCACAGCTCCTGAGCAGGGAAAGTTCCTCACAAAGTGGAATGCTTCCAGCGACCTCTGAAGCTAGAGTTTTGGCACTGGCAGATCACGCCCACGTCTGAGTGCGAGTGCTCGGGCAGTGAGGGTTCCTCCAGGCTCCGGGCTGACAGGTGGCCCCTGCCCATAAGCAAGCAGCAAACTCACTGGTCCCTTGCCTGCTTCGCGCCCAGGGGGTCTCCAGTCTAGTCCCCACCCCAGCTTTGTTTCCTTCCCGGCCTCCCACGCCCACTCACCATCTCAGACACCTCAGTTTCCCAAGCCTCATCATCTCTCAGTCGTTCAGGGGCTTTAACTCACAAGCCAAGTGTCAGAGGGAAACGCCAAGCCAGGAAGCCCCACAGCCCCTGAGCAGCCCAGCGTCCCCCTCTGGTTCTCTCTGACAAGCGAGCCAGCCCCCCTGCACCCCAGGGGACACTCCCTCATCCCACAGACGTCAACTGAAAAGTTCCCTGAGCACCACGGAGACCAGGGGCTGGGAGGAGAGGGGCGGTGACGGCTGTGGGCACGGGCTCTCCTTCCGGGCTAACGCAGACCTCTGAAATGACTGGTTGTCAGAAAGTCATGATGTATTTTTGCATAGAAAAAAAAAAAAAA